TAAGGTGCACAAAACACTGTCTACGTAACAGAAAACAGAATTCAGCATTCAGCCCTCTGCCACGTCGGCTCCAGTTTTCAGCCGAGCCCGTTCCAAGCCCCGTCCCGGGAAGGCACGGAGAAGCAGGTGGAGTCAGAGCGCTCTGCCCGGCTCGCCAGCCCGGACTGCGCCCCAGCAAGCCCCTGCACAACAGCTTGGGGTTTTCATACTTGGTTTTTATTGCCGGTTTATAGACCAGCAATTCCCACCCCAGCCACAACCACCGACCGCCAGATCTCCTAACAGCTGTGCTTCGTCCAGAGCCGCTGTGAGATCCCATCCTCGGTTAGCTGCGTACAAACGCCACGAAAATTAACTCCGCTGGTCAACCAAAACTCTGGGGCACTGTCACAGCCTTAGAGAAGGACATTTTCTTCTGGAACTAAGAAAAGGGAATGGATAAAATAATTTACCAGTCTACAGCCCCTGCTCTTTTACTCTTTCAGATTTTCTGTTTGCAGAGCAGGAACCTGGCACCTGCCTGCGGGGATTTTCAGTAGCACGAAACCACCAATGGCACAGATAAATTCTTCACCTCATGCTCTCTGTCACTATTTCAGCTCCCACAGAAAAATCCTGACACACTGAAAATGTGCAGCTTGACCAGGTATAAAAGGTGGTGCAGGCTGCAAATAAGAGGGTGAATGTGACTCGCAGCAATGCCACCTCAAAGAGAGCTGAACAGCTCAGAGAAGACATGCCGGTTCTTTGCTGAAGACTCCTCTCATCCCTTTAAAACTAAACCAGAAACCCTCATAAGCTGGCTCTGTAAGCAAGAACACATCCACTTCTCCCACGCACATTCAGAAAAATAAATAGAATTGTACAAGGTATGCCCCGAACCAGCTTGGGAAGCCATCTGGAGGGGAAGGAGGAGCTGCAGGCTCACGCCTGGCTCCAGAGGTGGCCCCTCACCGCACGCTGCGAGAGGACAACTGGCCCCCGCCGTCACCCGCCGCCAGGCGCCCGGCACCCTCCCGCAGCTGACCTCTCCCCAGAGCCCGGGAGCCCGTGGCACGGCCGCTGGGGCTGCACGAGGATTAGTTATAGAAGTGGAAACACTGGCAAAGAAGGAGCAGCAGGAAACGTGAAACAGTTGAATACTCGGGCAGGGAAGGAAGGGGAACTTCTGCGTTTTCCTGACCCCAGAACCACCATCCTCATCTCACGCCTGTACCGCAGAGCCGAGGTCCAACCACTCTGCTGCGGCCGGGCTGTTTGCTGCATCCCGGGGAGGCGCCCCAGCAACTAACCCTGCCCTGCAAGAGTCCAGCACACGCTTCCTCAGGGGCTCGGAGGGAGCACCCGGCCCACTGCCGCCGCCCAGGGGGGAGCCCCGCGGCCCACAGAGGCCTCCGGAGACGCGAGGCAGAAAGGGAACAAGGAACGGTACCTCAGCAGAGGCTTCAGACAGACACACGCTGAAGCCAGACACCCCACAAACCCCTAAAGCGGGGCAGGGTTTCCCCCCAGAAGCAGGCAGCAGGGAAGAATATGAAGTTCAATTTGGGGCTGCAAAATGAAAAGCTCAGAGAGCACCAGACAGGAGTGACGGCGGCTCCATTTCTCATGCCCCCAGACCCAGACAGCACCTCCTTCGGCCCCATTTATCAGGTGCACGGAGCTTCAGGGGACACCAGGAGCACCAGGAAAATCCAGAGGTGCTGAGCACACCTTAAGACTTAACAAGCCGTGACATCCTTCCAGACATCAGGCTCCCAACAGCCAGACCCCGCTGACATCATCAGTTCAGATATTGCCGGTCACAGGACAGAGCCACCCTCATCCTCTCACACCAAGATAAACAGCAAGAAATTTTCACAGCAGCCCTGCACACAGGGAAGCCTGCAAAACTGTTCAGCCCATTACATGATACTGAAGTTTTAAGACAAACACACCAAAAAGCACCCCAAATCTCTCCCAGACTTGGCTCTCAACCCACCGCAATAGGACAACAAGGGACAGCACCGGGCTGACGGGGCCAAAGGCAGCTCTGAACTCATGTGCACACGCAGCCACGGGCAGTGGTGGGGCAAGGAAGCACTGGCAGTGACACTGGTGTTTTGGTAAAAGAGCAGGCAGCTATTTTGGGACAGATGTCTCAGTTTCTTGCACAGGGTATTTCAGTGCTTTGATGCTATGGTGATAAGTACCCTAAATATATTCAAAATGTGTAGGGAGAGAGAACTGAAAACAAGACACATTTTAAAGCAACAGCTCTAATAAGTGTCTTGTTCCCACAGACGTACCTGCCCACTGGTTTCATACTGCAGCCCACTGAGCAAAGCTGCCAAGTCCTCCTCACCTCCTCCATCCTCCCCAGCAACACCTCGGAGGAAGCATCTGGACCGTGTGATTTCACCAGGGAACACCCCAAGGAAGAGGGACCAGAACTCCGACCTTTGTCTTCCACAAGCCCAGGCTAAAGCAGAACCACGTGGAGCTGACCTGGAGCTTTGTCCCGAGCCCTGAGCAGGGCGGCGCCCGACAAGCAGCGCTTCCCCACGCGGAGAAGCTGGCCATGCTGAGGGAGACATGGACTGCGTCCACCAGGAAGCAACTCTCCAAGTGCACCAGAGTGAAACCATCTGCTCTGGAACAGCTTCTCCAGCCCCCTTACACCCTGCGAGCAGGATCACCACACTGGGTTCTTGGAGCAGGAGCAAACATCACATTTTTTGTTTCACCTCTGCAGTGCCGACCTGAAGTTCACTGCATCTTCCATGAGGAGCCACTCCAAAGCCCTGTCCCTCTGGCTGCTGTCATCTGACTTTTTTTAATTGGGTGGTAATGAAAAGGGAGGCATCACATGCTGGCAGGAGGGTGGCAGCTTTACATGGAGGTGGGCGAGCTCTTCAAGGGTTTCTGTTCTTTTTATATGTACACTTAACTTCCCTCCTGTCTTCCCACCCTCCAGACTCTCTTCAGCCCATTTCCCCAGCGAAGAAAGGCTTGACATCAGCACTGGGACCCCGTTTTGTCATTCCCGAGTTGGCTAGGAGGGCCCATGGGGGAAGGCCACCCCCTCGGCACTAAGGCCACTCCAAGCTCTGGCCCTGCTGAACCACCAAGTCCACAGTCTTCTCTTTTACCACAAACCATCATACGAAGCGCAGGGTGCAAAGAAAACAACATTAGGAAAGACAAAATACAACTGCAGGTGTACTGCAGCGCAATGGATTTCTGTCATGAAATCACCTTGTTCTCTGCCTCCCCGGCTGACGGTGCAGGGGATCTGGGCTCGGATCCGGGCAGGGGATCCGGGCTCCGACCACCCGGAGCATCGCGTGTCAGCAGAGCGCGGGGAAGGAGCTCTGGAAGGCGCCTCGAGCGGCACACGGGGACAGAGGGACCATTAACAAACCTCTCCCAAGTTCCTGAATTGGGCCTGTTTTCTATCTGCTTGTTTCTTATAATTAGTTAATGAATTGGAGCCCGAATCACATCATTCATCAGCTCAGCTTTAATTGCCTGCCTAGCCTGGCAGAAACCTTGGAGTGCTTCAGTACATGACCTACCCCCCAAGCTTGAACTGCAGCTGTTTCCTGATAAATTACAAGTAAAAGCAGCAGAGGTAAGAAAACAACTAATTCTCTCCACATCCCTCACGGGGAGAACACCTCCCTGCCCCAGCCAGAAGGAACTCAGACACGGAGGAGGACGCAGAGGAGCCTCCCAGCCCTGACCATTCCAGAGCTGGAGCACTGGGGGCCTCTCCCAGCACTTGTCCAGGGAAGGTCGGCCCCATGGGCGTTCTGCAAGGGCATGGCAGGCGGCAGCTGGCCGCTGCGTCACTGGCACCTCCTCTGCAAGGAGCCCCACGACCACAGCCGGGCTGGGGACCCTACAAAGTCCCCTGGGATCAGTACCTGCTCTGTGGTAAATGATCCATTGGTCCGAAAACACGAGTCACACATGAGGATGTGGTGGTCACACACAGCATTTAGCATCACACCTGGCCGGGTCCCCGGCAGCGGCACAGGGCCAGGCTGTGGCAGCTCCAAACACCCCCAGAGAGGAGGAGAACTGGGGGTACCGGGAGTAACCGTGAGGCCAACCCTGCCCAGCCACAATTTCTATTCACCTTCCAGTTGCTGAGCCCCTCACACTGCTTTCCAGAGTTTTGCCTACAGCCACGAGGGCTGCTCCTCTTACATGGAGGGGGTTTGGTTTTTTGTTTGCTTTTGGCTGTTTGGGGTTTTTTTTAAACATCTCATGATTCCAAGAACCTGGGGCTTTAGAAAAAAAATATCCCAATCCTGATAAGCTAGTGAAAAACCCCAGTCTGCAGGACACCAGACATTTGCTTCTTTCCCTCTCCCAACAACCCTGCTCTCCCCTTGGTAAAGGTCTGTTTTCTAAAACTAACGTTAGAAAAACACCTGAAGGCTGTAGTGCGTTCAGACTTCCAATCCACACTATATTCTTAGTCACCAGGTGTTTTAACAAACACCTATTTCCAAGCATTTTATTTCCTGACTTCCGTATGTTTAATTTTTCATAAGTCAACAAAACAAAACTCCAAGCATCTCCTGTAGATTCGGAAAACCCAAGAAATTAGCTTGGGAGGAAAAGCTCGAGCAAACAGGCAGCCTCTGCTGAAGGGCTCTGGGCCCCCAGCCCTCCCTCGGCCGGCCCGCCTCCCTCCCTCGCTCTGGGGAAGAGGAATGCAAACATTGGCCCCAAAACCTTTAAGATGGAAACACCAGAGCAGCCCAGGAATGTGTAAGTTCACGTGTACATTTATCATTATTTTAGGAGGTTTATTCATTGCCCAATAGTTATTGCAGTTCATTTGTGCAACTACGTGTTTTAAGTGTAATAATAGCTGTAGGCTTTAAGTTCTTCAGGTTTTTTGCCTCGAGTCTCAGTATCTCCCCCATTTAAAAAGTAGCATTTCAAAATCATAAAAATCAGTGTTTAGAACCCAAAACCGTCCAGGTGAGGTGATGGGGACTTACCAGAGTTCAGTGGGAGCTCACAAAGCTGGTCACTTCATACCTGTTTCAGATGGGAAGGGGGGAAGGATCAGAAACCTCGCTGTGGGCTGGCACACGGGATACCTGACAGTGGTCAGGCTGGTGAAGACTGTATGTGTAACAAAAGTGGAAAAAAGATCTATTTATACCAAAGTTCCAACCGAAAAAAAATTTTAAAGGCAGTAGGGATCAACAAAAGGTAGTTCACCTTAATCCCCTGCATAACAGGATTGTTGTCGTCGTCTTTGTGCACTGAGCCCAGGAAACACTATAATGAAATGTTACAGCCATGTTACTATAAATGAGAAAACAGAAATAACTATTTTTACACATATATGCTTAGAAGCGGTAGGATATATAATCTTCTCTTATTGGTGGTGGGTAGGAGGAATAAATAAAATACATACATTGAGTTTATTGTTCAGAGATACTTGTACAAATTCAGTGATGCTTAATATTTTTTCCATGATGTGAAGTTCATTTTTTAAAAAAGCTATTTTCAATTTAACATACTATTAGGGAAAAAAGTCAATATACAAAAATATATTAGTTTTCTGTTTTGTATTAACCTTTAAGATATTTATTTTATATTTCTGTAACTGAAAAGCAATGGTTTAAAAACAGTTTAAGTTTTCAGAAGTTTATTCATCTAAGTTTATAGCACTAATGTTTAGACCTGTAGCCTGCAGATTAATTTAATTAACTGGAGCCGACTGGACGGTGGCACCTCAGGCAGCGGCAGGACGGAGCTGCAGCATGCGCGCCCGGGGGACACACGGGCCTTGGCAAAGCTTTCGGCGCCCGCCGTGTGCCATCCCGTGGAACCTACTGTGTTACCATTAAAACTTTTTGCATGAAAAAAACAGGAAAGTTTATTTCCACTTATTGGGGGTGGGGGGGTGTTGACCAGCCGGGGGCCCACGGCGAGGAAGCGCAGGGTTACCTGGTGCTGGGACAAGTGCTCTGCTGGCCGCCGCGCCACCCAGGCTCCGGCCCGGGCTCGAGCTCCCGCTTTCTGTTCTGACACTCCTTGCCCCCAGCAGGAATCTGCAAGCAAATATAACAATAATATTTAGCATTGCTTGACCTTTTTCTTTTCAAAGCACTCTTGAGATCTCTGGCCCCCAGGAGAGCAGCACTTTAGTCCATTCTGTGTGGTTAGACACGAGTCCCTGGACACGGGGACAGCCACAGGCAGGGACAGGACCCCGGTCCCGCTCCCCACCTCGCCCCTCATCGATGCTCCGTGGTGCTGCCCCTTCTCTGCGGAACGAGGGGCCACCGCTGCTCTCCCAAGAACAGCAAGTAAATCTGCATGAGATTTTCAGATCACAAGTCCCAGCTGAAGGCAGCAACTTAAGATTCACACTCTTAAAGCCACCGCTGGATCAGGAAACTGCTGTGAGACCATCATCTGGCAGGAGCAGCGGGTGTTTGGGCTTTATATCCAGGTTTAACTTAACAGGGTTACTAGGCTTTATATACAGGTTTAACACACCAAAGGGGACGAGAAGCAGCAGAGAGAGAGACTGCTATAAGATACTCATAAATTTTATTTTTAAAAACAAGGCATTTTGCACAGTGGGTGGTGAGGGAGAGGGACTGGATGGGTAGAAAGAACCATGACTCAGGCTCCCTCGCTGGGAGGTTTGTTAACTAGGACACCCTCGGCAGAGCAGCAGCCCTCCCACAGGTCTGGTGGTAGCCCATGGCCTTGGCTCTTGGGCCACCTGACCAGCAGCCAGACGCTGGGACCACTGCCCAGTCTGTGCCCAGGGTCCCCTGGAAGGAGCCAGCAGGGCTGACAAGCAGCACGACCAAGGACCAGCTTCCCCACCTCACCCCACGTGTCCTACCATGATCTTTCCAGAGCAAGAGTGAACTGATGGGCCGGATCCAGACCCACGCCAGGCCCTGAGTTCAGGGCTGGGGGAGCTCATTCCAGCCCGTGCCCTGGAATTCTCTGGCCAGAACACCTTCAGCACAGGGAGGACAGATTCTGAGGGGTGCTGGATCCCTGCAGGTTTCACTAGAAGCAGGATGTGAGGATGCTCAGTGTGCACAAGCCCTTGAAAGGGCCCCTCGTTCCCTGCCGCCCAGTTCTGGGGCGCTATATCCTGTACAGCATCTGCTCCGGGCTGGGCAATTCTACAGCAGTGGCAGACACAGAGTCCTGCTCTTACAGAGTGCTTTAAAAACATGAGGAGTTGCCTGGAGTTATCATTCCATTATAAAACAAACACTGCTTTTGCCTCTGCACAGGAGACAGGGCAATTCTTTAGATTTAACGCATTAGTCCTGCCTTAAAAATGCATCAAGGCAATAGAACAGACTTCCAGATCAAAAAGGAATTTGGTTGCAGGATCCTGCACATGCCAGCACAAACAGCACGGGGTGGGGGGCAGTGGGTCCGATCCACCTTCTCCGGGACTGAGCCCCCAGGTGACCTTTCCCAGTTCACATCATTTTAATGAGATGGCTCATCAGCACTGGGACGCTGGTCCTGGCTGGGGGCACCCCTGGGGAAGGGGTGCTAAAGGCCGTGCTGAGATCAGATCTCCGGCTCTCCAGTCCTCCCAGTAACGTAACGCACCAGCCACGGCCTCACTGGAAGGGGCTCCAAGGGCCAATACTGATTTTCCCAGGGTGGAAGGTCTTGGTCAGGTGCTGCTGGTGTCACCTTCCCACTGGGCCCCCGCAAGCCCCAAACCCAGGCACTGCCTGTGACAGGACGGGGACAGCGGGGGCCACACAGGGACAGGGGGACAGGGACCCCTCCAGTGCCTTCCCATTCACCAGACAGAGCCAGCAGCCCAGCCACAGCTCAAGGTTCACCACTGCCACGCAGAGGTCACGAACCGATCGATACCAAGTGACCCCCTGGAGCATGGTACAAACATCAGAAAAGGCTGTTGGAAACCAGCCCCCGCAGCGGCGCTCGGGCAGCTCCCCCGGCTCAGCGGCCGCTGCGCATCTCCCGCTCCCGCCCGATGATTTGTGCTTCAGCAGAAAATAATTCACCAAAGGTCACACAATCCTTCTGATGCAATAAGACACAGTTGAAGAATAACTGTTTCTGCGTTAAACAAAATATAGATTCTGGATACTTTGCTGGTGCCACAGAGTCAATAATTCTCTCTTCTGTCTGCAATGCCTGGAGGGATTAATAAACTGCTTTGAACTGAATTCTTGAGTAAGAGGAGCCCTACACAGACTCACTGCAGAGGTTTTACAGTGTAATATGCAACAGTGAGCATTCATTTCTCATCAGCTATATGTTTTCTATAGAATTAATTTTTTTTATATACCAGATTATTTATGTTAACCAAGGATGAGGCTTCTAACTTTACTCCTTACTTGAAACCAGAAAGAAAAGAAGCCCCATCCTCAGGGTGACCCAGGAAAGAATAAACGATGACAGGACCTCGAAAACATTCATCCCTGGGGCAGAGCAATGTGGAGCAGCCCCAGCACACAGCACGGGTGAGGACATCACACCGCACCCTGACGGCATACACTTCCCAACGGCCAGGACCGCCCCTCGGCCCCTCTTCCCCAACCCCCGGGCAGCAGGAGGCTCTCAAAGCAGTTACTTAAATCAGGTTTGGGGGACAGAGCCAAATCCAGCTCACAGAAGTTAAGCGCAGCTTTAGCACAACTGCAGGGCGCCCAGGAGTGCGTGCCTCTGTGTAGCTTTTCTTGCTAAAGCACCCCAAACCCTGCCAGGGGGTGACGAGCAGGCCCAGGCTTCACTAGTGCCAGGGGAGATTTAACTCACCAGGGGTTTTGTGTTTTGTTTTAAAAAAGACAAATTTATCAAGTACCTGCAGAACAGGCACAGAGGAGAGACAGGTTTCCTGGTGCCCCGGTCACTGCCTCCTTCCCGACGTGCACGACTCCTGGCTGGACACACGGCGGGGACAAGGGGATCTAAAGCTGCCGCCGCCCTCGCTCGCGCCGAGACGGGCACACAGCATGGCCCAGGGGTGCTCCTTTCTCTCTGGCAACCATCTGCAGAGAGAAGTCAGTCTGCTTTCTGCCTTCAGCTGATCCTTCCACCGCTGCCATCGCTGCGCAGTGCCAGGCTCCATCCAGCTTGGCACAGCATCAGGAGATGCAGCTGGTGGCACCTGCTGTTCCTCTGAAATTTTCCAGATTATTTTAACTTCCTTCTGTAAGAAACGTTATTTATGCCTCACAACATTTCAGAGAAAAGTATCTATGCGTTCTCCTGAAGAGAGGAAAACTGAAGGGCACAGAGCGCCAAGGAAATACCCTGTGGTGCTACAGCAGGAAACTGGAAGAGCCTGGAACTAAAAACAATACCTCTGCTCTTCATGGCTGTGAATTTATCTATTTCAACCACTGGCTGTTAAAAGGAAGAAGAAAGGTTCCATTTCCAGATTTCTCTAAGCAAAATTGTAACATGAAGACTACTAAGTAAGGCCAGAATTTTGTTAATATTGTGGGAAATCTAATACCAAGAAAGCTTCTTTATCCTGTTACTAGCTTTTATTGGGAAAAAAAATGCACAAGAACCAGCATAGCAGTGACATCTCCTGGAAGGCAACAAACCACCATCGGAAAAAAAACCCAACCAACAGCTTTTTAGCTCTATCTTGCTCATTAACAAGCAGTTTGGCTGGTTCACTTGAACACTGAGACTGTAAGAAATACCACTGCTGTTTAACCTGCCCCTCATGGCAGAAAACAACAAACAAAAACACAAAAAACCCAACTAACCAGCCAAGAGCACACACCCCCCACTTTATGAACCAGCTCTCCCAAACATCCGTGGGAAAGTCTTTGCTTTCTGGAGAGTTACTGAAGGGAAATAGATTATGGAAGAGTAAGGAAGCAGTATTTATTGTTCTGAAACTCTGAACCGATTTTTATCTGCTCAGATCACCTGGCTGCTGCTTTGTCAATATATTAGATTTTTATTGCCATAATCCCTGTTGCTTGGAACTAATAAAGGTGCTTTTGTACAAGGAAATTCAGGAAACCTTTCTGATCAGCTCGCTTCAGCTGATCCTCAGCTGCTCTTTGTGGAGCACTGGTGATCCAAACACACTTACGTGGGAAGAGCATCTACTGACAAGCTCCGAGAGGCAGCACGAGGGTTCCATCTGCCTCTGCTATCGCGTCTCCAGCGTCAGCCTTCTCGTCTGGAGACAACAGAGCAAATCGTGCAGCCGCTGCAGCCTAGCTGGAAACACATCCTTCTCCTTGTCGTCTGTGAGGCTTCTGCTCACAGCCATTGAGCCAAATTTGCTGAAAGAGAACCAGCCAAACAAGAGATTCCAGACCGTTTCTGTGAGCACAGCGACCCCTTATCACTTGGAATCTATCAGACTTTTTTGAAGCCCCTCCCCACGCTGACCAGAGGCACCGGGTCCCGCTGTCCCAGGGCGTGTGCACTCACCCACAGCAGAGTCGGCTATCAGAGCTTCCCAGCACAGAGGGTGTTTAAAGGCAGCTGCAATTCCTCCTCCAGTGGGTGCAGAGGCCAGGCCACATCCCTGTTCCTGCAGCGACAGGTGCTCAGGATGCTCCACAGTTGCCACACTGAAATATCTCGTTTTCCTGCTGCTGTGGGGAGATTCTGGGGAAGGGTCCCCACATTGCAGGAACCAGGGGACCGCTCTCACTTTTGGTCCTTGGTGCCAGAAAGAAACTGTTAGAGCAAGAAATGCAGAGATGGTGTCTGCGTGTGCAACAGCCACATACTGAACAGAAAAATGGAGCCCTCAAAAGCACATGCCAGAGCACGGGCACCTCGCCATCACGCTCTGAAGACAAATTCCACACCTAACAGCCACAGCCACATGTGAGGTGGCACCGGGTGTGTGTGCTGGAGGAGACTTTTCTGCTTTGGAAGGGAATTCACCCAGACTACAAAATTTTAGCAAAGAACCAAGTCCTGGCTGCAGAGCGGTGAAGGGGTGTGACCAGGACGCTGCACTCCGGGTGCCCACAGGCTGTCCCCGAGGCTGCACGGCGAGGGCACTACCAGCCCAGCACACCGAGGGCTGAACCCCCCCAGAGCCGCAAGCCAGCACCCTTGCCCCCCACGGACACTCCTGCCCGTTGCTATTCCAGCCACTTAAAAAAGGCCCATCGGGGTTGGGGCTGGCAAAGCTTCTCCCCAAGACCCCAGTGCAGCAGGAGTATTTAGCCTCCACCCTTCCTCCGGCCAATCCCCAGCACCCAGGGACTGCCTTAGACTGTGCAATCACCTTTTTTCTCTCCTGGGAAGCAAACCTTTCCAGAGAAACTCATGAGTATTTGCTTAGCGGGACTGGGGAGACACAACAGCAAAGGGAAACTCGTGCTGTGTCTGTATAACCCCAAACCCACCTGCCTGCTGGGAGGGGTAACGAAGGGCAGGGCAGAAAGCAGCACACTCAGCCCGGGGCTCGCACCGCCCTCCCCGCCTGCACCGTAACCTGCTCTTAGGGGAAGTTCAAATGTTAAACCCTGCGGAGCATAGGGAGCTGTGGAACTGCCGAAGAGCAACGGTGCAGAACAAAGCACGCTGTGTCTCACCAGCCACCTTCCCCGGTTTGCAGACAGAAGCCCTGAAGCTTTATGTGATGACTCACAACTCAAGGGAAAAAGCAGCCTGCAATAGCCCTGAAATTACCAAAAAACATCACAATGTAAAAGCTATTAAAAGAACACTTAACCTTTCTACTTAAAATAGATTTATGAATAGTTTTATGAAATAAGAAGAAAGGAAAAGTCAGTCTTTAGCAGTGCTCACTACAGACACTCCCATTTTAACAGCCAAGAAGCGTGGAAACTCCCATATTTAACTATTAAGAGTTCTTCAGCCGAATGACTTCTGACCTGCTAGCCTGGGTAAAGGTGCCCTAACGGTGCTCAGTCACCCGGGTCACTTAGAAGCAAAATATAGCAATGTGTGAGCAACTTCTTCCCCTCTATTACAGGAGGTTTCCAACCCACTTCCCTACCCAGATTCCAGCCTGTTCAGGAGGGAGTGGAATTCTGAGTGCAGTACGCTGGTTTGCTCCTGAAACACTGGCCACAGCTGAAAAGGAAGATTCGCCGTGTTAATACTCAGGTTAACTGTTTCTTTTCAAGAAAAGGCAAAGGGCCAGAGGAAAATAATTTTATTATATCCACGTTTAAAAGAGTAGGGGTGAATTCGCATGCAAAATTAGGTTGGTTTGAGTGGGCTTTTTTTTTTTTTTTGATAGAACAAATTCTCATCTTTGTTAATTACAGGTGCTTTTGAAGTGTCTCTCTGAACTTCTGCACTGCGAGGGATCAAGCCAGGTACGCGCCCATTAATGGACTAGATAAACAATTGTGTCACCAATGTCCTTGGTCAGGCCGTTCTCGGTGACGCGCACGTGCCTCTCGCCCAGGTCGATGTGGAAGACGGCTTGCTCCAGAATTGGCGTCTTCTCTGCCTCCTCTTTGCCCAGGACTGGAACACGGCGCGGCCCGAGCACGGGGTCGTCGAACCGCATCAGCTTCACTTTAGAGAGATCTGCAGCGAGGGGACAGGCTAGTTAGGCTCGGAGCTACCCACAAGCTGGAGGATCTGCTGAATCCAAGCAACGCTTAATCCTCAGTACGTCTGTATCTGCTCCAGGGAAATACATTCTCTCGGGAATAACAGCCGTGTTAAGGTTTACACCTGCTGCCAAGATGTCATTCAGTGCTTACACAGCAAAAACCGGGGATAAACCATAGAAATACCAATCCCAATATCACACTCCAAGCACGAAATTTGCCTTATCTGGCTTTGGGACAGCTGTGATAGAACAGTTATGGTATTGTTTTATGAGGCATGAATTTATAGAGACTGGGAGAAAGGGGAAGGTGAGAGTTGTTCTAAATACAACTCCCTATTAAAATGCACACTAATAAAGACTGCTAAGCAGGACAAGAAAAACCTCTAGGAAGCCTGGGATCTTTCAGCCAACTTTCCTCCCAGCCCTCGAACTCCGACAAAACAGTGACACCTCCTGGAGAAGGCAGAGAGGGAGAAAGTGTTCAATCTGGCCAGTTTTCGGTTGTTTCAGAATGCCCCCGGCAGAAGGCTAGCAGGCACAGTGCACTCCCCTGCCTGCACTTTGCTACCTAGGGATCAGAGTCCCTGCCTGCCCCACCACCAGTGTGTAGTTGTCTTTGTTCTACAGATAAACATTAACATAAACAAGCTGTTGAAAGACACAGAAAGAAAAAAAATTACTCTGCTGTCACAAGCTTTTGGATGAGGTTCAGTTTTCCTTTTATACTCAGCTCACAGTGCCTCAGATTTGTTTGATTCTTAATTCCTGCATCCTTCAACAAAAACACAGCTGCTGTTCCTTTAAGAAAGCTATTTTTATTCACTACACTGGCCAGAAACGTAATGCTTCTTTCAACAATGTCTGACATGAAGTTTTATCATGCTATTCTGTGTTTTCCTAAGATTGCCTTCCAAGCAGGTAGGTAAGTGAGGAATAAAATTATCAACAAGTAGGCTAGAAAACACACTGCTTATTTCCAAGAAACATCAAGGAAAGGCACCCACCCTGAAATACTGCTAGTTGCAGAGGCCACCTTTACATTGTCCAAGACACCACCAACATTTAAACCAACCATAGCAGCACTCTTAAGAGGCAGCTTTTATTCCCACTGCAACAAGGCAAAAACCAGGAAAAGGGCCCAGATTTTCTCTGTGCCACACAATGACAGCGGCAAAGATGAAAACAGCACCTCTCCACTTCTGCCCTGTCAGCACACGTCATCTCAAGAAGTTATGAGCCAGCAGAAAAGCCCTGCATAAAGTTACCAGACAGAAAACTATTCAGAAAGGAAAGAAGCAAGAGGAGGCAAAGTCATTACTGGCAGCAACCACGATTTTTGCCAAAAAAAGGCACTTCCATAGAGTTGGATGTTTTTCCTATGGTAGAGTTCAGGCTCCTGAACCACAGAACACCAGCCCCTTCAGGGCATCGACACGCTCTGAGCAAACGTGCCGCCGCGGCACCCCCTGCCCCCGGCCCGGCCCTGCCCAGCGCCAGGGCACGGACCAGGCGGCGTCACAGCAGCCTCAGCACAAGCTCAGGGTGAGCAGAGACCAAGTGCCCTGGTCTCAACACATTCCCACCAGATCCCAGCAGCGCCCACGCACTGAGTGCACCCAGAGAAATTCTTCCAGTACTTACCTTGACTCTTACGACCCCAGAGTTCAATGTTTAATAGCTGAAATCAAGTATTATTGCATAAAGAATACAGGAGTAGACAGGGAAGAAATGGCTCGAGCATTCAAAAGGAGTATTAAACTATTTCCCACAGAGGTTGCTAGTTCAAGTTTGGCATGGACAATGGTAACTGACAGGCTATTGAGCAATTCTTCAGTAATTTCAGTTTTCAGTGGACAGTTTTCCACTATGAACTGGGACAGAAATGATGAGGAGCCAACATAGCAGCTGTTAAATTAATTCATTTTAGCTAAATAGAAAAATAAATCTAGTAAATTTGTTTTCAGCCCTAGGTTCCAAAATCAAAGTGGCAGGAGCTGCCTATACCCAGTTACGGGACTAACCTCTTCTTGGGAACTCAGAGCACAGGGGCAACGGTCATCCATATTCATGCCCGGCTGAAACTAGGCTTCGGTGTACTGGTGCCAGAACAAAAGGCTCACGAGGAAAACCACAGAAAAACCTGTTTGTTTCCATGTTAGCTCCTTCCTTGGTCACTCAAACACAAAGCTTCTTGCTCCTTTCTCAGCATCTATTACAGCAGCACAAAGTTCAGCACTTCCCGCTCCTCTCCTGGGAACGTTCGGCAAGCGGCAGGTGTACGCCTGTGCCAGTGTTTTACCTTTGATTCCCCTGTCCATCTTCATTAAGCGCCTGATCACCGTCTCTCTGTTGTCTCCTTGCCTGATTTCAATTTTTGTAGAGAAGTGGCCATTTGACGGCTGAGGGTTCACCAAAAATACAGACACGCTGGGCTGCAAGAAAGGTAATACAAATGTTAAAGGAGAATCTGCATTTGTGATCCAAGCCTCAGAGGAAACGTGAAACTGAAACAAATAAACATCTTCTATCAACAGATATTCCAGATGGATAAACTTCATTTAGAAACAGACTGCCAGTGGCACTCCCCCAACTCTTTAAAATACAGGACAGAGTATGCAGAAATTTTTCAGAGATATTTCAGGGAATCAATGAAATTTTTACTGTTGAGAAGTGTTAAGAGCTAGAAATACTCATACATGATACACTCTTGCAGAGTTTCACTAGTCTTACACATTACTCATTAATTCTTCCAAGACTCTGTGACACAGCTGTAAGAATACATTTGAAAGGTTTTATTTTTATGCAACTGAATAGAATTTATTAGCCCATTCAGGATTCAGCAAACAAGAAATACAAAGTTTCACATGGAGATTTATAATATTTAGAACAAGTATAATATGCAACACCACAATTTCTAGATAAGTGTCGAAGTGAGATTGAGCCACGCTTGCATAAGCCTGTGAATTCTCTGCCTTTGGGCTGTGCTTTAACCAGGACACAATCTACCTTATCTAATCAGCAGGAGCTGAGGCACAAGGCCGAAAGAAACCAATACAAGAGTATGCAGATGCTCGGGTCACTTGTTTTTAACAGTCCTCAGTTCAAATCACTGAACTGTCCTGACTGGAAGAGCCTTCAAGCTAAGGTACAACCACAGTCACATCTAGGGCTCTGTACAGAGGAAGAATAAAAAAGAATCATAATTCCTTCAGGAAATGTTTCTTGTTTTGAAGGAGTGTTGGGTCAAAGGCAGAATAAATCCAACTTTCCTGTCTGATTAAAGTTTTTAAATGGCATATTTGCTTCTGACTGCCTTTTTTCTTTTTTAATTATTTCTTCAGACTTCCAATATCTGAATTTCTGATTTTACCTCAGTTCTGAATGTGGAAAATGGTTTTCCAGGACAGCAGTCTTCTTTTATTTTGTCTTCTGCTTCAGAAGCAAACTTCACTTCAATGTGATCCAGCTGTAAAAAAAGAAAAAAGGGGGAGGAAGGAATAAACAGGAGTTTTTTCTGTCAGGTCACACACTCCAGGCTCCCCCCAGCCACCCTGCTGGTCCCCTGCTCAACGAGCCCTCAACACCTTTTTAAAGTGGGGGTGTGGAGAGAGGGGGCACAACACTGTCACGGCCAAACTGGGGCTCTGCGAAGCCGAGGGGACAGGGATGACTTCCCGCCCTGTACCAGCGGCTCCTCCCCGCAGGCCCCAGGCAGGTGGCTGGCGGCAGCACGCGCACCTTCCGCTCCCACGGACCCCGAGGAGCCCGCAGCCACCCCCAGGTCCCCGCAGCAGGGCTGGGGCTGCCCCCGGGCGGTTCTGCCCTGGCAGGGAGCCCGCCAGCTCCTGCCCAGCTGCAGGAGATCTGACAGCCCAGGCTCAGCTGCTCTAGATTCTCCCGCATGAAGGAGCCGCTCTTAACAGACCCACTGCCCCCTCCCGCAGTTCAGTGGGTTTTGCAGACCTACAGATATTTTAAAATAAAAGTTGTCACTCGCTCTTGACTTTGCTCTGATAAGGGACAAGTCCAATAAGACCACGTTTCGTACTGTACAGGTTACAAAATGAAATTTTGCAATATATATGTTTTTGCTTTTTTTTCCTAGTTTTGAAAAAGTTCGAGAAGGGATTCTTTTGAGTCTTTTTAGTCTGGCTTTTGGGTTGTTTTTTTTTTAAACACAATCTGAGCTGCCCCCTCATTAACATCTTGCCTACTGAACTAAACTGGTTATCATAGGAAGCAACGTAACTGCTACTAGGCTGACATTCCTTTTTGCCACACAGTCTTAAAAGCCCTGCCCAGAACCTGCTCCTTGAGGAGGGCACAGTCATCTGCTACAGCTGCCATGCCTTGGTAAGAGCCCGAGCACACAAGGCTAAGGACTCGGATCATTATTGCTGGTAAAGCCTTGAAACGTCTCCTTCCCATTTCTTCAGCTGAAAAACTGTAACATACTGGTTGACTCAGAAAAATGTCTCTTCAAA